TATATGACATATTATGTAGATTTCAAATCCTACCACACTCCTCAAAATATCTTTAGATTGTGTACAAGATCATTGTAAGACCATAAACCAAAACCTCTTTAGATTGCATAAAAATCAATGCCATAACAAAAACTAATCATCGATATTTATCGATATTTTAATAGAGAGCTGTTTTATGTTGACATTAGTCTAGATGTACATAGCCAAGAATCAGGACTAAACTGATTTCTTTAACCAATCAACATTTATCGATATCAACGATAACAAACAGTTTTTGTTTACAAGTAGCAGCATTCAAGTTGAACCAACTTTTAACTGTATATAGTCTGAAAGGTTTTGTCTGTCTCATCATTCTAGTTATCATCGTAGGTACATTTTGTGGAATATCTTAACAATCGATTTTTATCTATATTTTATGTCATTTTCTATAGAACATAGCTATTGCTTACAAATACCAGCTGCACATATCATGAGTGAGTTAACAAAGTAAACTCAGTTTCCATCCATTGATCTGTGAAATAAGCTAATAATTTATAGTAAATATCTCAAAAATCGATATTTATCGGTATAGAGCTAATATTAAATAGACACGAAACTGTTAATGAACTTGTAGTTCTGCCTTAGTTTCAACAGTCTAAGCCAATATACTCTCTTGTTAAGCAGAGCGCAAGTTGATACATAGCAGCTCAGGGATACGTATATACTCTCCTTTCATATTATGTACAGGGTATTGGGTATTGGTGCCGCCAAGGTAAGCGCCGCGGGTTGCTGTGCCTGCGCCACTGGCACTTGCTGAGGTCATGCTTATATAAGCCTGACTGTCAGCCAGCCGTGATGACGTAGCTCTGCCCCCAACCAACCCCAGCCAATTCAGACCACCCCACCCCACCTCAGCCTCTGCGACTGCAGTTGCAGCAGCCTTGCCTCCTGCTGCGACTGTCAACGTCATCAACTGAATAGACTTTTCCTCTTTCCTTCACACACACACACAGATAAATAAATGTATATATATATATATATGTATAATATATATATTATATACTCTATATTTAAGCATGCATTCGCCTTGGCCTTCGCTCGCTTTGCTCGCAATTTGCTTCTATTATTATTATTCTTTTTTTACGCTCGCTCTTTCTTTACCGTTAGCTGGCAGGGAGGGGCTGGCCGCCTAACCACCTGCCCATGGCATTTAAATATAATTTTATGGCGTCGTCGTTCCAGCTCGTGGCTTTCTAAATCACTTGACTGTGGCCTCATGTGCTTACCTACATCTCTCTGTCTCTGTCTGGCAATCTACATCTCACTCTTTCTCAGACTACCTCACTCTCGATATCCTTGCTGTACTCTTGTATCTGTATCTTTCGCATTCGCTCGCGCCATAAACACGCATGCGATACATATTTTATGGCTGCAAATGAAATCTACAAGCGTCGCACACACACACACACACACACACACACAAACACATTTAACTCTTTTATTATACGCTGCATTACACTCACGCGCATTTGTTCAGGAACTGTAAAGTTTTTTTTTGTTCATCACATATCATAAATCTGTGAAAAACAAAAACTTTTTTCCATTTTATGTAGCCTACTTTTTGATGTTATATAAGGGCATGTGAATATAAAACTAACTAAACGGACATGCTCTAACGTCGAGTATGTTGGCTTTGTTTACAGTTATACAATACTTCATTAAGGTATTCTGGTTGGTTGAGCAGTTGTATAAATGGGCTTTAGATACTATTTTTATACTCATCCACTCAAAAGTTTCATAGGAACTGAGCTTATTTAAGAGATATATATAGAACTGGAAATAATATGAAAACGAGATAAGGGTAAAATTGAAAGGGAGAAAATTTTCAGGAAATAGAAGATTAGAGAAATCATGGATTGAAAGAATGGAAATGAAAGATGAGACAAACCTGGCTCGGCGAACTCAGATCTACGGCCCAATCAAGAATACCCATAGGAAGGAAAAATATGAAGAGGAAAAAGTAAAATTATGAATATATAAGTAAAAAGCAGGAGAGTGAGAGAAAGAGAAGAAAGGAGATGACAAATAGATGGCCAGTTGGATAGACGTTAAAACAGTCATGGCTAAACGGAATCAACTCTTCCGCCCGATCACGCATAAATATACTTAATGGGCTGTACCATACCTTCTTCATAAAAGAAGAAATGTTGTGAGATCATGGAAAATCTGTGAATACAAATAGACAATAATGCTCAATTGATAAAGACTCTAGTTATTCAAAGTAAAAAAAATAGATTTACTATGATAGAATTTGTTAAGATTACCAATTTGTCAACAATACAAAAATTTATCGAATGACATATTTGAAAGTGAATCGATAGTTGCGCCACTCACGAATCAAAGAGTATAGTTGAGTCTGTTATCGGGTAAAAAATACCTGAGCTAGAGTCATGCAATGTTCAAGAGGGTATACAAGACGTTGCTAGTCAAAATATAGACTCTATTCAGCAGGCATATATAAAGTAAACGTAGGGTATAGAAAACAAACTATTCTGATTTCATAATCCCACTCAGCGCAGCTTTGATTGCTGCTTACCCAACTCCTGTGTTTGCTCAGTGTAGAGCTAGCCCTAGCCTATGGAATAGGTTCCATACACCCCATCATCTATCATAAGTGCCTTGACGACCTTTGAGCTAACAAATTTATTGGGTGGCTCTCACGCCCAGACTATTTGGCAATCAAATTGCCATCAGTCTACCTCTAGACTACCCGCTTTTTCCCTCTCTCTCTCTCTCTCTCTCTCTCTATCTTTTTAGCTAAAATGCGCAAAAGATTTCGCTTAATTAATCATTAATATGCACGCACCTATTGATTTTCTGTTGTTATTGTTGCTCTTGGGTTCGCTGAACCCCATCCGCTAATGTGCCACGCCCCCAGCGCCCAGCTCCCGTGGTGTTCAGCTCATTATGCAACGGTTTAGTTGGCAGCACACAATGAGCGTTATTGCCCTTTGTAATTGGCAGCAGCTGCCACAGCCACAGGCACTGCCACTGCTCCACCCCCCCTCCCCCCTGTCTGCTGCTGCTGCTGGGGCGTCTCGTTGTCGGCGTCCATGAAATCGTTTTGCGCAAATGACACGAAAGCCAAAGCCAAGCCAAACCCAACCCCAACCCTTGCCTTACCTAGCACTAGCCTACCCCACCCCGTCCCCAGCCCTGCCTGGCTGCAGCTTACGCAATGATTGACAAGCCTCGCACCTGTCGCGGCGAGCTGTTTGCTCCTTCTGCAGCTTAGCCAAATGCAATTGTTATTTATCACCTGTCGAGCTGCCGAACCATTGCGCCGTTAGCATTAATTAAATTACCAAGTTGAGAGACGGGCATCGAGCAAATGACAAACTTGTTACAGTCTCTATCTCACTCTCTCTCTCTCTCTCTCTCGCTCTGTCTCTATCGTTTACCTTTCAACTATGGCGCCCGGTCTGCCGTCTTCTAATGGCATTTGATAATGGGCTTCGGTGTTTGTGTTTGTATTTGTGTTTTTCTATCTCTCTGCCTGTGTGTGTGTGTGTGTGGGGGGAAAATGGCGCAATGACGTCGTCCAATGATGCTGATGAGCCAACGAGCTGGGTGGGGGGGCCAAAGTGTGGGCTCATTGAAGTGAGTTTAGTGAGCAAATGAAGATGTAGCTAAATATGCCGAGATGGCTGATCGATGGCGGAAAGCACTAAGAATAGAAATAGTGACAGCTACTAAATAGAAAAGAGTGTTTATACAGTTTGACAGTCATCATGTACATTAAAGTTGGACAGCTACAGAATAGAGAGTAGTAAACAAAAAGTAAATGATATATTCAACTAATACAAGAAATGCTTCATAGTTCAGTTTAGTTAAATGTTGTACAGTTTGGCAGTCATTGCTTAGATTAAGAGCCACTTATAGAACGAGAGCTGAGCCAGCCTTAGAGCGCTTACAAATTGAGAGCTACATGAATCAATTTATTGGAGTAAGTTAATCTCAGACTGTGGAATTTATTTCAAAATTGTTACAGTTTGACATGCAATGCAGGCAAGTTACAGTTTATGAGTCTTAGCGATGATAAAACTACAAATTATACAGCTTGTAAGCTACAGCTGCTCATTGACAGTTTGACAATCACCACCAAGCAGGCACAGTTTGAGAGCTATAGAAAGCTCAACAGCGCAACTTAAGAGCAAACAACATAAACTACTGTCAAGCCTAAGACTTTACAGTCTGACAGTCCATCAACAGTTTGAGAGTCACAGGCGGATATTACTGCGAATACTCCATAATGTATTTACTTCATTTTAAATACAGCTGATAAGTACGCAAAGCAAGCATATTAAGTGTTACAGTTTGAGAGTCGCCGCTTTAAACATGCTTCAATTTAATGCTACCAGCTTTAACAAAGAGTAAATACAAAACTAAATAAAATAGTCTTTTGTTAATCTCAAGAGTCTTAACTTATGTCCAGTCTCTCCTCGAGAGGCTGTCAAACGGCGCAACGGTTTGAGCAGCACTGAGTGCGCATTGTTGTTGCGTTCGAGTGGCTGCGTTGACAGCGATGCCTCTCAAACTGTGTCAAGTGCACAATGCAAAGTGGGTCACTGCAAAAAGCAGCAGCAGCAGCACCAGCTGGGCGTGGCACTCGCAGGGGCAGGCGGCGGGGCAGTCAAAATGCTCAAACTGGCGGGCAGGATAAGGACGCTCTTATGTAAAGCATTTTATGCAGGACTTGACTCTGAAACACACTTTGCTAAACGAAATTAGACCAATTTCATTTACAATTTAATGGAAGTTGAATATATAAACAAATTAATTTAATGAAATTAATTAAATTCATTTAAATTGAAATATTGGGAGACAAAATAATATGAAATTAATAATATTTGTTTATTTTTATATTTATTTTTTTTTTTAAGTAAAAAAGTTTAACTATAATTAATTAATTCATTAAAAATAAATAAATATCTGACTTTCGTATTTAATTTTATTTTTAGATGCGCACAATTAGCTTAAAAAAGACAACGACAACAGCAACAACAACAACAGCACGCAGAGCAAATAAATAAAAACAACAACAACAGCCAGAATTTACAAGCAAAAGGATAATCACAAAAAAGCACAAGCATAAAATAAACATAAACTATAAAAAAATTAAAATATTAAACAAAAATAACCCAAATTTTCAACTAAAAAACGTAGCACATCAAAAGCCTTACAGAAAATATTTAAAAATAGCAACAACAAAAAAAAAAATTTAAATTTGTGCTGTGCTCTTAATTAATAAATTAATTACTTAAAAATTCAACAACAACAAAAAGTGTTGTAAAAGTAAAATTGAGTAAAAATATTATATAAATATATATATATATATATATATATTAATATTATATTTAATATTATTATATTAATATTAAATTTAAACTTAAATAATAAATATAATCATTATTCTTCCACTTCAAAGTTTCAATAAAACAAAAGCAAATAAATAATTAGTTTACAAACTTAACGGAAAAAATCAAGAAAACTAAATTTATAAATTTAGAGCTATATAGATACATATATATTATATATAATATATATATACATATATTCAAACCTTTTAGTAGTGCATTAAAAGACATTAATAAAAATTTTAATTAAACTTAGCAAAGAGCGTTGTGAATTTAATACAAAAAAAAACTTCAACTAAAACTAAACTTAACTAAAACCAAGTGGAAGCATCAACTAAAATATGGTCTATTAGTAGTTTTTAACAGTAAATTTTCAATGCAACTTTTAAACGAGCTTCAGCGCAAACGAATTGCAAAACACAAACCAACAACATTCACCTTAACCTTAAACTTGGAATAAACAAACAATCGACAAAAAAAACACACACACCAAAAAAAATTTGGACGCCGACGCCGACGGCGACTGTGACTGCGACAACGACAGCGACCTTGTCGTGCATTTGCATTTAGCTTTTTGGGCTATTGCACAATAGAGGGCGCCACACGCTAACTGCTGGCCGTCATGACAGGAAGTGAGGTAGGCGGCTTACGTGTGTTGTTGGCCTTAGCATAACCTTAAGCCTCCCCACAAACACACACACACAACCATATCCACACATCCACATCCTCCGCTCCCCACTCCACCCACTCTCTCACCTGCTTGCAGTGGGCAGAAAAATGCAGGAAATGAGCTACCTGCAGGATAATTCCAAATTGGAGGCACTCACCAAAGCCGTACTCATCTCCATACTGGGCGTGGCAATTGTATTATCCAATTTACTAATCATCGCCACGTATGCAAACTTCAAAGGTAAGTTTCGAGCTCACATTCCACTTACACACACACATGAACTTACGTTCCGCATGCTGCGCTCTCTTAGGTCCCACAGAGGTCATCAACTACTATCTGCTCTCATTGGCCATCGCGGACTTGCTATGCGGCCTGCTCGTTGTGCCCTTCTCAGTCTATCCCGCTCTAACGGGCGAATGGATGTACGGCGACATCGTGTGCCGTTTCACCGGCTACCTGGAGGTGACGCTGTGGGCCGTATCGGTCTACACGTTCATGTGGATCTCGGTGGATCGCTATTTGGCCGTGCGCAAGCCGTTGCGCTACGAAACGGTGCAGACGAAGACGCGGTTAGTGATGAGCGACAATAATCGATAATCGATTGGCGATCGTGTTGCTTACTGATTTACTGATTAATGCCTTTTGTTTTGCAGCTGCCAGTGCTGGATGGTCTTCACATGGATATCGGCGGCGCTGTTGTGCTGCCCGCCGATACTCGGCTACACGCAGCCGATAGTCAATAATCTATCGCACATCTGCATGCTCGACTGGGGAAACATGGCGGCATACAGCGCTACGCTGGCGATACTAGTGTTAGGTCCCAGCTTAATATCGATAGTACACAACTATGGCTACATATTTGTAATGATGCGTAAGATACGATCGGGCGAGCCGATACATGATAAAGAATATGCAACAGCATTGGCTGAAAATTTATCGAACCCTAGTCATATGATGTCATTCGCATTAGTCTTTGCATTCTGGATGTCCTGGCTGCCATGGATATTATTGCGACTATACGAGGTGGTCATGGGCGAGGTTATCCAAAATACTCTTATCAATTTCGCTGTCGTCTGGATTGGCATATTGAATTCGTTTTGGAAAATTTTGATAATGTGCAGCATGTCGCCCCAATTTCGTATCGCATTGAGAGTATTTTGTTTAACCATTTGTTGTAAGACTAAGGGCAGATTGCAAGCGGAGCTAATCGGGTTGGACCCAGATGACTAGAGCCGTTAAATTTTCAAGTATAAATTGGTTGTAAAATGCATCTCTCTCAATATATATATATATATACACACATATATATATAGATATATGTGAAATTCATCTATATATATATATATAGTTGCCCTACTAACTGAACCGTACTTGCCTCTAGGCCACATGGTTGCATATTTAATGGAGTGGCGGGCAGTACGTCTACCCCCACTTCCACTACTCCCAATACCCAGAACCCACTAATAACAACAACAAAGAGAACACGAACACGAACATCTAAACAGATTTGAAAGACATATTCATTTAGTAGATCGTAAGCTTTACAATTTAGTAAGAGATTTTTAAGCATAAACGAAAAGAATTATGTTACGAATTCGAGAAATTTATTGATATATATGTATATGTATTATTGTGTATTTATGAGCTTATATCTGTATGTATATAGCGTGATACATATCTAGCTATATACCCATATAGACAACAAAATCGATAATCGATAGACGATCATCGATAATAATAACTAATGCCTAGTCTACTTCTGTATTCAACTTATATCACAACAAAATTCTATTTCTGTTCTATTTGACCGCAGTTCCGTTACCACTTCCGTTTCCGTTTCAGCCCGCAACTCTATTAAAAAAAAAATAAATAAATAAACAAAACAAGAAATATCTAGACGCTTGGCGTTTAAAGCTTTCGAAAAGTCCATATTCAGTAGCATTCTAGAACCTAGTTTAAATACTTAACTTAATAAATGCCAAAGAGGGAAATGGAGAGAGATACCAAGTGGGCGGGGCATTGTGAGCGTAGTTAAAAGTTTGTAGTTCCACAAGTTCCACGCGCTCCACACGTTCCACATCGATAAACTTTAACAGAACTTAGCTCAGAAATCGAAAAACACATTTCCAGTAGAATTAGCGCTAAATAAATATAATTGAAACAAAATAAATAAAAATGAGAGTATCGGCGAGGGTAGTCTGAAGAATTCGTGACTGCAAATATATATATTAAATGTATATTAACTTGAATGCAATTTTTTTTTATTTTTCCCCTTCGAAAGTCGTAAAATTTTCAGACTTGCCTCGTTTATATATTTAGTTTGTAGTTCAGATATACACATATACTACTATATATATATCTAATGCATACAAATCGTAAAATATAGTTGATTAATAATTATAGTTAATATAGTTTAATATTAATTTAGTGTTAATTAGTTGAATTCACATCATGAATTATGTATTATATAAACACACAGACACACACACATATTACTATATAGATTAACTCGTTTTCTGAATTGACTGGCGGCACTTAAGCAAATCCTGGCCACAGATTTTCAACAGACTGTTGCAATTTTGCCTAGTTCCCTTAGTGGGTTAAATTCAGTTTCTATGATCTGCGCCGTCTTTTGCTTACGTGCAGCCAGTATTTGTTGTTATTAACTCTTATTGTGAGCACACACACAGAGACATACGACATACGTATATGAATTCATTGTAAATTCATTTGCAATCATTTATTAATGTTAATTTTACAAAATGTTATCGAGATTTTTTGGCATGTAAGCAGTGGAAAAATTGTTAAGAGTAATATATGTATATACGTATATATAAATTATATATATATATGTATATGTGATCAAAAAATTGAGTGCAGTAAATTAAAGAGTAAATGGAAAGGTAAACAAAAGCTTGTGTTTTCAATTCACATTTCAAATTTGGCGCACTGTTTTTGTGCTACAAAAATACCACAATAATACCAGCTAGTTGTTGACGCAACTGTCGATGCTTAAATATACTAGGTCAGAAGTAAATCGATATTATGGGCACAATAGCCCAGATGTGGCGGCTATTGATAGCAGAAGAGTATCGATATAACAATGTATTCCAATGTATCGATGTATTGGTCATCAAGCAACAGCTGTAACAAGTGGTTATAGCATGAAAGTTTGTTTACTTTCTATTTTCTATTAATATTAAAATGGAACATCGCAAAGACAATCCTGGTGCCGTTCAATATGGAAACTTTATGAATTATTATCAATTCAATTCCGCCAGTGAGCGTGTTAAGTTGTTGCCCGACAAAAATATTTGGCTGCCACCGAAGCAGCAACAAGAAATGGAAGCAAATGAAAATAAACCTTATTTGGTGCTAGATGTTGGCTGCAATTGTGGCGTCTTTACGCAGTTGCTGCAGAGCTTTTTGGAAGAGAAGCTAAAACGGCCAGTCCATGTGCTGGGCGTCGACATAGACGAACGGCTCATCCAGCGCGCTCAGCAGGAAATCACGTGCGATGAGAAAATAAGCTACTTTTGCGGCGATGTAATGAATGCGGGGAGTTTTGATGAAATCATTGCAAACTACCTCCAGCAACAGCAGCGCACAAAATTCGATGCTATTTGTTGCTACTCAATAACCATGTGGATTCATCTAAATCATGACGACAGCGGCTTACAGTTCTTTTTGAGTAAATTGTCGAACCTGGCAGAGATGTTCGTCGTGGAACCACAGCCATGGAAATGTTATCAGACAGCCGAACGGCGCTTGAAGAAGGCAGGCGAAGTGTTTCCCTTGTTTTTGAAACTTGAATGGCGCTCCAACGTGGAGCAGCAGATTCAGAAGTATATGGAAAACGAGCTGGGAAGGCATAAAATATTTGAATCCACACCTACCAAATGGCAACGAAAGATTTGCTTCTATCGATGAAGCTGAATGGATGATCTCTTGGATTACATGGAAAAGTGGCGCTACTCTTAGCAGTCACAATAACATTGATGTAATGTAATTCTCAGCGCTCTGGACTGTTAATTATTGGAAACTCGCCACAGCTGGAAAAGAATGGAGCTCGCAGCAGTGATAACAATCTGTCAAATGTTTTGGTTGATAACTGTAATAAAATTCGAATGTTAAGTCGACATTGAAAACATAAAACAAACTATGAATAGCTTCAATAAACAAAATTAATATAAATAAATATATCCATAAATAAATATTACAGACATAGCTTACTCCAGTGCTATTAGGAATTTATATGCCAATGGCAAAGAGATGAACCGCTTCCTATTTAAATATTTGCCTAACAGAACTATGTTAAAACAAATCGATGACTATCGCATGTACTCACCGCTCAATTGGCGCACCGAGTATTTATCGAAAGTATTGCATATTGTCCGACCGCCACAATCTGTAGTGTAGACAACAACAAATGTGTAAGCGGTTGTCCAGGAACTGCAAAAAGTGAGTTAAAAGAAAAGTAATAATAAAGTTCAATAGGCACAACACTAACCAGTGTAACGAATTGCGTCTTAACATTTTGAGTGCGCAAAAATAACAACGAAAATTGCAAAAACAAAAAAGAAAACAGCAACGTGTAAAAAAAAGCGTGCGGCCAAATGAAACTTGTTCTGCTTGTTTGTGTTCTATTCGCATGGTTACTTCAACTAATTAGTCAAGCCTCAAAATGCTAAATGGTCTCACATACATATACATATATTTGTATTTATGTGTGTTTTTGTCTATGTTTGAATCCTGATGTTATTCCAGTGAAACCCAAATGTGCATGTGTATGTGTGTTGAAGTTAATGGCCATAACCTTTGGCCTTTTGTCACTTGTTGACAAAATTAATTTTAGCTGCTTCCAGTTCCAGACGAAACACAGCAGCAAACATTAGCTTTAAACAGGGCTCAAACGCGCTCCCACTCTTCCAGCCCCCTTTGCACCCACACGCGTTTACTTTCAAGTTATTGTTGCCAGCTGTTTCAGCATCCACAACAATGGCTCTGTCTGTGGATGGCATGTTGCACACACGTCTGTGTGGATGCTGACCTGTTGTAATTTGTTGTTGCTGCTGCTGCTGCTGCTGCTGCTCGTGTATGTATGTGTTGCTGGCCAGCTGTTGAGTCTGCTTGGATCCTGTTTAACTCCACAAAAATAATAGACAGATATATGAATGTACGTGCGCACGACAGCATGTGTGTGTGTGTTGGTGTTATAAAACGGCATTTGCTTTGGCTTCGCTTTGCTGCGTACTTACATACATATATAAGCAAACATACATCATATGTATCTATATACATGTATATCCTGCAGAATGTCTACCCTGTCACACAGTGGCGTTAAATCATATGACAATTTCCGCAATCGAATAAACAAAATAATTAACAATAAGAACAGCTCTGATAATTATTTGTATAAATAATTACATATGTATATGTGTTATAATAACTTTTATACGTCAATTATCTATGCATTGCCCACAGTGTGTGCTTCATTGCATACAAAACACAGCTGTAATTGTTGTTGTTTTTATTTGCGCTTACCAATCCTTTACCCTGCTCAGAACACACGCACACACAGACACGGAGTCTCAATCATGCATACACACATATCTGCGCATTTACATTCAGCACGTACACACACGCTCTAACACCAATACATATGGCGAGGGTTCGTTGTGGACTCCATTTGGCTTCGCTTGGGCACTTGAATTGCCGTCACCTTCTTCATCGTCGTCGTCGTCGTCTGTCTTTCCAGTACCTTCGTGCAGCGCAATACGCGCGGTGTGTGTTTTGAGTCGCGCAGAGTTTCTTATTTGCCGCCCGCTCGTTAATTGTTAGTAATCCAAGCAAAAGAAAACAAAAAGAAATATACAATTAAAATTGAAAATCTCCATGCATATATAAATAAACATAATCAATCGCACACATACAATTCAAATTAATAAAATTCCAACAACAGCGAGCGTTGTTAAAATCTTTTCTTCTACTCCTACTCATGCTCTTCTCTTTACAGTTTTTGCAATATGTTGGCGCAGGTTCAGCGAAAAGTATGCGAAATGCAAAAATGTTATAAATATAAAATGCTATAAATATGTGAAACTCCAAAATAAAAGAAAATCAAATGAGTGCGTGTGTGTTTGTGCCTCTGTGTGTGTATGTAATCAGAGTGGGAAAAAGTAAAAAGCAAATATGCGCGCATTTTGTGTCTGTATATGGTTGAGCGTCACGCACACAAATGAAATAAAATCCAAACAGAGCAAAGCCAAAACTCTGCCTAACTTCCCTCGCCTCACCGCAACGCAACGTCCCCTGCCTCTTCTTCTGTGATGGCTCTGTTGCTTTTTGGATTTTATTTGACGCTTCTTCGTATACACCCCCCACGGATTTTCGTTTTTTTTTCTGGTCTTTTTTGTTTTTTGCAATATCAAACAAATACAAAAATAAATCAAATACAACGAACGAGGATTCTGTTTAGTTTACCGTTGCGTGGCGCCTGTCGCGCAGCAGTAGAAATAGGCTACAATAAAACTTCACATTTATCAACGTTTTGTTTCTTTTTTTCTCAATTATTGCAGCCCGTGCTCGGCCACAGTTCAACGTTTGTGTCACCTGCGAAATAAAACATGCATTTTAATCACTGCAAGCAAACTAATTAAAAGCTAAACAACCAATCTTAAATATATTTAACGAAAATAAGACACAATGTGAGCATGTATTATGTGAAACTTAGGAGTTAAGCGCGAATTGTCTGTATTATTTAAATTTATGTTCGATAAGTTTGCATAAAAATAAAAAATAAAAAAAAAATAAAAACCTTAAAAATATTTAATAATAAAAACTTGTAAAAAAAAAAAAATAAAATAAAAAAAAAGTAAAAATAAAAACAAAAAGAAACGTCAAGAAAATAAATAAACGTAAAAAAGAAAAGAAAAACAAAAAAAAAGCAAAACGAAAACAAAACAAGAACAAAGATCAAAACTACAGCAACAACAACAGGACCAAACAGAAGAGTGTTCAAAAACAAACAAGAGAGAGTGAGCGAGAGAGCAACGTGGTGAGCGCAGCGCGCAGTACGCTTTCTTGTTGTTGCTGCTGTCTGGCGAAGGCGAAGGGTGCAAAAAGGAGAAAATGTCAACGTTCTTGAACAATTTCTTTCCGGCAGGTAAGTGGCAATGCAATGCAAAGCAAAGCAAAACAAAACAAAAACCCAAACACAGCAAACGCTCACAAATACAAAAAGCCACAGCTTGAACTTATTTGTATGTATGTATGTACAGCTAGAGCTGTGCATGTGTGTGTATGTGTGCGTTTGCAATTGAAAGTCAGCTTTGGCATATTTTATATACAAATTGGTTTTCGCTGTTTGTTGCCTATTCCTATGTTTCGCCTTTAATTTCGCCGCGCTCGCTCCTTGCACTGGAAATTAAATTACTTCCAAGTCGCAGCTCATGATTATTGGCAATTACATGCAGCCGTGACCATGGAAGGGATCATGGAAGGCGCGCGAGCAAGATAGCGCTATGTAAACTGTCTGTGTGTGTGTGAGTGAGCGTAGCAATGCATTAGCAACGCTTAACCATAATGCCCATCAGCAACTTCTCTGTAATCAATCTACCCCAAGCACTGTAATTGCAAGCGAGGGAAAGAGAGTGAAAGAAAGAGAGATAGCTAATGGATTTGTTGTCTGTTTTATCTTCTTCTTTTCTTGGAAACGATCAAACGAGCGAGTATTCTACCCTGCAACTGAGTTGAGAGTTGTTTCTAGTTGAGAACAAGTTCCACTTGTCCTTTGAGGATGGCTTGATCCTGGCGCACAAACAGGCAAGACCTGTGCTAGAAAAAACCACTTCCTTTTCCCTTTGCCAAACAAAATATACGAGAAAAAAAAATAAAATAAAACCAGTTCCAGGTTTCGCTGCAACGGCAGCTGACGGAAATACAAAGACTTGAAGTGTTGCGACTTCTGGTTCGGTTCTCTCTCGGTAGGTGCATTGGGTTACCTGTTGAGGTTGCCTTTGTTATTTCGCATACCCTGTAGCTTCTGTAGATGGAGTTTATTCGCTGTGTGCTGATATATGTAACATAGGATGTTGATATGAAGTCATATATGTTAATTTAATCAAAGATATTATTCAGACCTTAATGAATATCCGTTAGATTTGTTTGTATATTCTAAGAGCAAAACTGTCCTCGTCGCACCTCTCCAAGAGTTTTCACTATAAGAGTTCTAGCATGCAGGGTATCTCTTGGTTTATCACGAGTATTATTTGATTTTTTCGGATCGTTTAGTATCGAATGCAATTTGAAACTGGTTTCTTGACTTCCACTTGGCTGCTGTTTGCCTGTTCTTTGAGTTTGGAAGCGTTTTTAGCCAAGTTCTCTGCTTTCTGCTATCCTTTGTCAAACGAGGCATGAATGTCATTGGCCAAGAATTTGATCATTCCAAGAATTTGATCATATTTATGCCCCCTTTTTCTCTCCCTCTCTTACATAATTATAAATTTACATATAACTTTTTCCTTAACATTAACTTCCTCACATAAAAAGAAATTCCCTCAAGTGAAAATTTAATATGCATAAATTCCCTCAAATAAACGTATATTTCTCACAAATACATAAATTTCCCCCAAACGAAAATACCATTTGCTTTCACATCAAACCTCACGTGGGCTAATACGAATTTTCTCTAGGCCTTAAATTCAATTTTAGTCTTATAATATTTCCCCGTTAAAATAAACCGAAAAATTCGCGAATAAACATTTCTTTCACAAAATAAACAAAGTATAGGCAAAAACAGAGATATCTCTGGAAAATCTCCTTATATGCAACAATTTCCCTATGCACAAGCTCTTGTCTATCTTCTTTCGCATACACACTCTTGTTAATTGTTTATTGTTTGCAATTTGTTTGTTGCTCTGCTCATTGTTTGTTTGTTATTGTTTAGCGAATTCTTAAAATGCTGCTGCAAAGTATGCAACACATTCCTGGGCGCATTTTCCATTTGCACGCGCTTTGCATAATATTTCGCAGTGGCTGTGGCAGTGGCAGCTGCTATCGAGAGAGTGACACCATAGCAACCCTTTCTCTCTCCCTCCCACTGCTCGGCGTGATACCCTAACCCCATTTCGCTGGCTATTTAAATTCGCATTCACTTTCGCTTGGCAAAGTGTCTGCCCTTGAGGCACGCGTTACTCATACGTCGCGTCGTCCACTGTGAAAAGTTTATGGCTCTGTGTGTGTGTGTGTTTGCTGGTATGTAGCGCCTGGTAGTTTTATTGCCATTAGCTGGCCTCATTATCTATGTATTGCCCGCCGGCAAAGGGGTTTCCCTTGCTTAGATATTTTTCCTAATGTTTTGTGACTTTGGCAACAGCCGAAAATCTCATTCCGCATCTGATTAACATAACAATGAACCTAATTAAAATTTCCCATAACTAAAACTTGTTATTGCTGCACAAATAAATAATTTGTATTGTTTAAAATTGCTAAATTATAAAATATTGATAAATAATTTAATTATGAGCAAATACTCCTTAGTATAAAATGATATGCAGCTATCATTGCATAACAAGTACAAATAATTGATAGCTTAACAAAAGATTAAAAAGTAATTTGTTCATTTAAAACCACCAACTATAATTAAACTTGAACTAGAGCACTTGAACTGGTTCACGCTGTTCGCATCTCAAAGATGAATGTGCGGCTACAGTTTGACATGCCCACACTGCAGCGCCGCTGTGGCTACTCAAACTGTATTATCAGACGCCTTGGCGCATTTTGCTTTTGTGTGTGTTTTTATTTTTGTTTTGTGTGTTTGCTTTTGCGCTTGGTTTCGTGTGTGTGTGTGTGTGCTGTGTGCTTCGTCTTCATTGTTGCTGCTTACCTTTTGAGTTAGTCACTCTTGGGCATCGAACGTTACCACACGGCGAACGCGGCGAACGAGAGCCTCAACACAAGCGTGAGTGTTACTGTGTGTGTGAGAGTGTTTGTTTGTATTTGTGTTATTATTTTGTTGGTGCAAAAGTAAAGTGAGCGTGTTTTTTGTTTTGCTGCTTACGACACTTTGAACTGTAAACACTCTGCGCGCGTGCGAGCGAGATAGTGTGTGTAACAGCAGCTGTAGAGAGAGCTGTAGAATAATCATCATCTATGTTATCTGACTGGCAGTCTGCTCACATCTCTTTTCACATTATGCGTAATTCGCCGCAGATCTGTCAATCGCAGCGAATACATCAATCACATTGAGCGGACGCAGACCATAGCTGTCCTCGCTCTTGTTGGGGTCGTTGTTGTTGTTATTTCTGTTTTATGCCAACGCAGCGGAAGAAGAAGCTCTCAGAACAGAACGATTCAGCAAGTGAGCAAAAGAAAAAGAGAGAGAGAGAGCGAGAGCGAGATAGGGCGATAGCATATTGACAACGTTGCTTTTGCTGTTGCTTTCCACTGTCTTTGCTTCTGTCTTCTATCTGTGGCTGTGTGTGCGAGTGTGAGTGTGTTCTTGCAGGCATATCATTTTGTGCTTCCGTTCTTATTGCCTTTCCCTTCTACATTACCTATACGAACGTTACTCCACATTGGCTGCTTTTTTTTCGCCGCTTTCTTTGTCACCCGCGCCGCTTGGCCGCGTTTCGCAATACAAATGTTGCTGCCTTCAAAAAAAAAAAAAAAAAATTCATCGAGTAGGCTTAGTTTTCATATTCAATGAGTTCGCAATTGTTGTTGTTACTGGCTAAGCTTGAGGCGCCCGCTTATTAACCCATTGGCGCCCCATGTGATATTTGCACAGCTGTTCGTGGCGGACTGAGCTGTCTGTGGACGGCGAATTGGGTCAAACTGTTGCTGCGCTGCCAGTAGCGAGCAACAGAAACAGCAACAATAACAACAACAACAATCAACCAACCAAACTTGTCTTGGTCACGTTGGCGGCTTACGACAGAGCCACAGCGCAACCCGAGCCCCTCTTTTCATCCGTGTCTCTTTCTCTTCCTCTGCCTCGCTCTCTCTCTCTCTCTTACTCTCTCGCTCTCTCTGTGTAACGCTGTCAATATGAAGCACGGTGCGAGATCGCACCATAATCATAAAATGAAAACCGTTTCGTGACCGTGTTTTGTTTTTGTTGTTGGTTGTTTGTTTGCTGGGCTGAGCTAAGAACAAAAGAAATGCGAATTGCGAAACTTCAACCTGATTTTTTTTGGCAAGTTCTGTGAAAGCATGCTAAAGCAAAGCCGACGAGGAAATTTAAATATTTATAAGCAATACTTTAGGTAATATTATGAGATTTTTAATATTTGATAGCCCGAATTAGTATGAAATGCCTTTTTAATCAACAAATTATATGTTGCCATCAAAATTGTATTGATTTCAACAACACAACATACTTAACTTTTGATAATGTTATTTGTTTTCTCTTCGGGAGCTTAACCCTTATATATTTTTTTTAAATTTAAGATTCCCAAATTAAAACATTCATCAAGTTTCCAATTCCAATTTGTTTCACTCAACCAACGTGTGGGCCGTTGAACAAGGTATGACTGTATTTGATTTAACTGTAAGAAGCCCTGTGGCAGTACGATAAATATTTATTTTGACACTTAAAAAAAAAGTAACCTAAAAGTCATAGAAATTCAAACAGCTAACACTTAAAACTTTCAGCAGAAGCTTTTTGTAGGCCTAAAAGGTTTACAGCAG